TATATATATATATATACTGCTTTTTTATCTTTATTTACTCACTTTGTTATTTTGAATATTCTCAGAAGTCTCAGCGCCCTCAGAACACTAATACCAAATGATATGCCAGGCCTAAAGAAGCCCCAGACCACCTCAAAGATGCTGCCAATAATGACCTGCAAAAGATGTCACAAAAAAGAGGGAGAAAAAAATGGCTGCCATTTAAGAGTTTAAGGTATGGGAGGGAAATAACTGAAGTTTTTTTATAAACCAACTCAAGCTGAAAACATGCAATGATTCTGTAAGATTGTTAGTGAGCTTTCTTGGTACTAGTTGAGAAATATTAATAAAAAACATTATTACTTATTCCATGAGATTAAGTAAACTAATCATACAAAGTAGTGGCCCTGTAAAAAGGCATAAAGTTGAATCAGTTTTTTTGTCTGTGATTCAAAAAAATACTGTTGTTTTTCTTTAATAACATGCAGTCAGTATAAAAGATGGAGGATCTCACCCCACAGTCAAAGCAGTTAAAAGATGAATGAAAGTAGAGCCGGAAACCAAGACCGTACATTTTCAAAAACATCTCAGCCAGAAAAAGCCCCAGGAACACAAACTCTGCATAGTCTGCAGATTAGAAAAAATACAGAGCCTGTCATTTAAAAAAGTAAAACGAGGCAGCATAAAATCATAAACAACTCCATCATTAAAAGTGACCTAATCATTTCTCTTTAAGGTGTTAGTTAAAAGAAAAACCCTGTCAGCTGTTCTCGAGTAAAACACACAGAGGATGATGGTCAGCCAGTCGGGCTGGTCGTGGTGCACGATGGCCACACAGATGGTATTAAGAGCCACCAGACTCAGGACCATCAAGTAGAAAGTGTCCGTCTTCACCATACGACGGATGGAGATGCGCAACATGCGCTCTTTACGTCGCAGGTAGGCAGCCGGGCCACGACGGCCGCTGCGAAAGTTCATTCTTGACCTTGACATGCCTAAAGATGGGAAAAAGGAAAACATCACTGGATGAAGTCAAATGATTTATTACTGATTAAAGACAAAACAATAAAAGGGATTGTTTCCTCCACAATTAGCGACAGCCCTCGTGAAAATGATTTATTGTGAGAACAACCTTACTATGAAAGAAAAAAAAAATCATAACAATTCTATGGTGTGAAATTTTCTAGTTCGCTGACAAAATAAGTTGGATCTTTGTTCATTCTTCTTGGTCACAGTTCCAGGATTACCAAACTGTTTTGATTATCACTTTAATGGCATATTTTCTTATCTTTCCTTATTGAGAAATATCCTTGACTTACTGGCAGTGGACATGTCTGTGTACTTGTCACTTCCTGGTGCAGCTCTTCGTGCACCTGTCTTTTTACTCGCTCTCTTCAGCACTGAAATGGAACGTAACAAAAACTTGAACAACACAAAGATGGAGCTCAAGAACTTAGAACTTCACATAAGTTGTAGATAAGGCTTTTTCTATTGCACTAAATGAAAAGGATACAAAGTGCCTGATCTTTTAAAGGTTTGCACATCTCTGAAAAGGGGACAAACATTTTTGTAAGCGATAAGCAGATCTTAAAAAGAAGCGCAAAGTGATTTGTTGCAATAAGGCAAACAGCGTGTTCAAAGCATTTTGTGCTGCTTTGCCTTGATCAATATAAAGAATCCATGTAAATACAAAACTTTGCAAAATTCAAGGGTGAAGGATATGCAAATGTTAACTTTTACAACATGCAAAGCAAATCCAAATTTGAGACTGAACTGAGTTTTCAAATTTCTATCGTATTTGTGTCATTTTTAGTACTTCTATAAGTCAGGTTCAAACTGCCACATAAAAATGTCTGGAGTAATTGTTGCAACAAAGAAGGGATTGGTACAATGCCAGAGGATGGAGAGATATTCTCTGCACATACAAACATATTGGGACCATCAGAAATAATAAAATCAATGAAGAAAAATGTCTACAAGCGAGCAGAAATTAATGCAGACAATTAAACCAAATCTAAAAAAAAGTAAACAGACAAGGAAAACTTCTCCTGCTTTATATTACATTTTTTATATGCAACTATTATTTTCATATGAATTTCATATGAATTTCTGATTTCTAAAATAATCTTTATCATCATTTATCATTATTACCTCCATTATCTATCATTATTACCTCAAACATTATGGCTTACAACCTCATTCTTCTTTTACGACCACTTTCCCCTGCCTGTATAGTATGCAAACTGCTCATTTTAATGGGCAGAACCTAAACAGTTTGCACATCTTAATATTTGCACAGCAATCTTTATATATCACCCACAACATTCCCACCTATTATATAAAAATATTTAACTTGCAATTTAGCACCCCATCATTGAATCTTTGAAGATCAGACCCAAAGTACTTTATATTCATTAGTGATTTAATAATTACTTTTTCAACGTGTAACACATAGATTTGAAAGAAATTTATATTGTTACAATTTTAGCCAGATTTTCTTAGTTGTTTGTACTACTACAATTATTAAATCTCTGGCAGTGACATTCCCAGACTTTCAAGACAAATCCAATGCACCATTATTGAGTTTGAAGCACTAGGTTGCATGTGCAAAAATGTGCAAAACCAGTGTGGTCCATCCTATTAAACAGAGTAAACTAAGAAGGATGATGTTTAACCAATGGAGATGAGGCAATTATGATAAAAAATAATATTTTCAAAAGTAGCAATGATTATAATGGTAAGTTTAATTTGAAGTTCAGTTTCTTCAAAAAATATCTCAAAGTGCTTCAATCAAAATGAAAAAATAATAATAACAACATTTTAATTTAAAGGATTAAATATCAACAATAAAACCTGGGAAAGGTTTTATGAACAGAATGTATTGTGGGATTAAGTCCTGTTACAGTGACAACAGCAAAATTACATTCAAAACTTCTGAATTTCCATTCCCCAGTTTTCCGGAACATCCTGCAAATCAACAAAACTTTGCTGCGTAAAGGGCCTATAAAGGAATTCTGACAAAGGAAAAAATACTCTAGCCAAAATTTAAGGATGAACATTTCAGCCACCCCCAAGTTTCCTAATACAGGCCCCTAATAGTAATTAAAGTCACAGCTGAGGGCATATATATTGCAGGTTAAATTAGCAGTTTCTATATATGTTTAGATTCCTGTATGTATATGTAATGTGTTTGTGCTTATGCTGATGAACATGCATGCATTACTAATGATTTTATTTGTAGTTATCGTTTACAATCACTTTTTGTTGTTTTTTTAATTAATTTGTTCAATAAATAAAACAAAACCTTGTCTAATGTAAGATTTTAAAAATGATTTTGACCGAGAGTTGATGAACTTACCATCTAAAGGGGATCTGCCTGAACTTTTATTCTCCTCTGCAAGCATTACTTCCTCTGTAACAGAATAAAACTGGAGTTTAAACACAAAGCAACAATTCAAACCATCAGAAGTAAAGCTGTACAGATCTCAGGGTTGAATTGTTTAGGATGTCTGCAAACATTTGCAGGAAATGATGTAAGCTCTGCCTTAAGAGGCCGTTGTGACCTTCTCTGAAGACTGATTTCTAAATCCCCCTTATATTCTGTCTCTCTTTTCTCCTCCCTCTTCCCACACTCTCCCACATTTGTGCACATAACTATGCACAGTGTCTACATCGCACACATACTTGGGCATGTAAACAGTGAGATGCGAGTGCACATACGTACATGCACACAAATTTAAGTCAGTGAGTCAGTATCACCTTTTTCTCACCCTCTGCTTGCGTGGGAGACAAGCAATGTAGGATGCCATTACAGCACTGCATGTTTGTGCTTCCCAACTCTTCCACTGATGAAGATCCCAAACCCTGTCAGAGCAGTCACTTTCCAGACAAGACAGGTGAAGGCTTGGGTAGTTTACATTGCTTTGAGCAAGGTTTAAAGCGATTATATTTCAATGTTATAAAATAATAAAACCAGCTTTGTTCAGTGAGCTGTTGTTGTCCTGAGTGCCTCACATACACTGGAAATACAAACAATTACGCGAACAGTCAGTACACTCTGTGCAAACTCTACATTACTGTATGAGTGCAATATTCTTATGTGTAATACTGCAATGTCTGTGTAAATATTCTTGTTTATATAAATATATATATTTTTTTCTTCTGTAATTGCACAGTCATTTTATAAAGTTTTTATAATATTTATTTTTTTGTTATTGCTTATATCACTTTTTGCTTGCACTGTTTTGATTTATATTGTTTTTTTTTATTATTATTTTGAGCTGATATAAATGTAGTTGAACCCTTGAGGAACAATTACAAATGAAAAATTCTAATTTTGATTCTTCTGATTCTGATAATGACAAAATTACAAAATGTATAATTCACCTTTTAGTAATGCCACTCAAACTATTTATTTGACCGAATAAAAATAGATAAATCCTCTCTGCAAAATTTTTTAGAGCTGATAATCAAAATTAATTCAAAACCACTGACTCCCCTAGATAATGGGTTAAAGTTGCAGCCTTTCTGCTGGAGTTAAATGTGGCCCATTTGCTTGTGTATTTGGTTGCATTTTATTCTGAGCAGAGTCCTAGATGGAATCATTGCCACTATTCACTTTTTTATTTACTTTTTAAATAGAAAGTATCCTCTACCCATGAATTCTATTGTAGCAGTTTCTTCATCCAGGACAAATTAATTGATGTAGCTAGTGCTGCCACTGCTAATGCGTACCCTGCTCTTTTGCCTTTGCAATAGAGGACAGGGGCGGATTTAGGAAATTTGGGGCCCTAGGCAACTGTCTAGTATTGCCTAATGGTAAATCCCCCCCTGATAGAGGATCTACCTGATCTGTTTTTTCTGTGTTTGACAGTGCCTCTTTCCTTAAAGTAATCAACAGAGCTTTTTCTGGCATGAACCTAGGGCCAAAAAAACCCCCTAATTTGCTTAAAGCCGAGGGGCAGACTGGTTAAATGTTTATTAAAACATATTGAAATGAAGAGAGCCTATTGAGCCAAGAGCTACATATTGTTTTTTTTTAACAAAATATTATTATTATTAATAAACTTTTATCATATTAATAAACATATTAAGATAAATACATAAATGAAAGTGCATGCATTATAAACCGAAAATGCATTACTGTGTTTGTGTTTTTCATTTTTTGCTGTGCTTTGCATCTTTGGCTTGTTTTGGTTTTTGATTTCCTCTCTTTAACAATCCAAGCACACTGGGCTGAAGCTGGGTGTCTAAGGAGGCGGAGCACAATAATTGTGCTGGGAAAACGCTGCACGCAGGTGTCAGCAGAGGCTGATTGAAACCAAAATAAAAGGAGCCTGGATGGAAGGAGATGGGAGCTGATCCTGCAGGTGATAAAGACAGACATGCCGCCGAGCGAGGGGCAGGTGGGATCCGCATGCCAGGAACAGAATACCGGGAAGTGAACAGAAGGCACAGTCAGGGCAGAGGTTCGCGCCTGTAAGTAGCGCTCCGTCTCAGAGTATCGGTAGGAAATACGTCTTCTGACGGAGTCTCGGTGTGGGGATGCTGGCGTTTTCCTGCATCTTTCTTTTAGCTGGATCGGACTGAAAAGCAGTCACAATCATGTTTTCCCTTGGGAATGTAGTGTTGGTGCGTGCAACACAACCGCACCAACACTACATTCCCCACAATGCAACAGTAGCCCGCAAAGTCACAGCAACGCGCACAAGCGGCTGTGGCCAGTGGGCCGGTTCTAATGGTAATTAAATATCATCTGGGGGGCCATGGGTAAACAATTTGCGGGCCGGGCCTTGACTTTGACATATGTGCTGTACTTTGGTACGTTGATATACAAATGTTTCGGCTTCCCAGTACCTGCCCTGTCTATCCAGGCTCGGTAGCCATTCAGTTCTCTTTCAACCTGCTGCTGACGACGTAACTTCATAAAGGCTCTCCTGTTCTCCACTCTCTCCCTTTCCTTGGCAAATTCTCTGGGAAGACAGGAAACAACTGTCTTACTTCACAGTATCAACAATAAGACCACGTTTCCTTTTGCAAACACAGGAAGAAACATACTTACCCAGACAAAACTCCCAGCACTAGATTCAAGACAAAGAACGAGCCGATAATGATGAGAGGAATGAAGTACATCCAGTTCCATGTAGAACCCAGAGCATCATTGGTCTGAAATGTTGAGATTATTTAATATGTAACTTTGCTCAGTCGGATATGGATATTGATTTGTTGCCTAGACTCACATTGTAGAGCACAGCTGTCCAGCCCTCCATGGTGATGCACTGAAAGACGGTGAGAACAGCAAACAGGATGTTGTCGAACTGTGTTATGCCATCATTGGGCCCGATCCAGGTGTCATTGCAGTCGTACTTTTCTGGACACTTTCTCACCCCGCATGCAAATGCCAGCTCTGATGAGTCAACAGTCTCATTATCTAAAAAAAAATGTAAAAAAAAACAAACGACAACTAAAAAACGCAGCTATATGAAAGTGAAATGCATTTACTGTGCCTACAATAAATCTAGCAGTAATATCTTAAAATTTGCTGTTAAGCTATACAAAATGATAAAACGAAAGTCAAATATTAGATGCACAAATGGCCAAACAAAGTAAAACAAGTGGTAATATTGAACTGGTGGCTGGCCACAAAGAAATTCTACTGTTACAATATTGTTATAAAGCTTGCTTGTTTAATACAACCAAATGTCTGTTTCACATGTTTGTGGTGACACATTTTAGCAGAGAAAGATGAGAAACTCGGGTGTTGTTTACTGTACATCCATGAGAAACAAAGAGCAGTTGAAGCTCATGCTATCTTTAAACTACAGTAGACACAGTTGGTTACAATTGCTATTTTTGTTCTCTCCACTGAAATATTTTGTTTTGTTTCTTTGTTATTTCTTCTTCAACCTGCAGACTTACCCTCTAGTCAACATGTATATGTGAGCCCCATATGGATTTAGTTCAGTCAGTGTAACAGCGGGCATCTTGTATGAAACTTATTCGGGATGACTAAATTGATTGTTACACTAAGGCACTCTATGCTGGTCTTAAATGCATTTTAGAAAATGTACCTCCTTGACAAGACATCCAGGATACATATGGGTCAAGGTTCTGCTTTTTTTTTTTCTAAAAGCAAGTTATATTTTATTAATTTTTTTCTTCTACTTTAGTTATGATCCTATTTGTGTTTGTCTTTGACATAAAAGTAACATGAATTAGTAAATGCAATCTTCCCCAAAAAATGCATCAGTAACTTGCCAAAATGGGGAAAAGTTTGAGTGGTATATAAACTCCTGCAAGCAACTGTACTAATGCAAAATCAGGACTATTGTTTTAATACTGAGGAGCAGAGGATAGAAAAAAAGTGCTCCTATGATTTTAAGCAATTAATAATAAAAAAAAAAGCTGTCTTTATAATTTTTCTTAAACAACGTGTGAAAAGAACCAGAGCGGTGATTGAAAAGAAAAGGTAAACTAGAAAGCGAGGAGGCATCACTTTCCTTCTGAATTCCTGTGGGGCCTTGCATCAAACTCTATCTCAGGGCAATGACAGTAAATGCTATGGTGTGTCGTGATTACAGTGGAGTTGTTGACTAATTAAGCAGTGGCTAAATCAACCAGCATCAACTCTAATAATACCTCTGAGCTTGCTGCTACTGTAATCCATGAAGCCCTCAAATAAAGATATTCACACCCTCTCTTTCAGAAAATTGACTAAACCACATGTTTTGCATATACTTGTTGGTGAATTATTCACAGCTGGTAACAAATAATCCAAAAAAAACTCTGGGGATTTTATATGTAGCTAGGGATTTGTGGCAATAGGTGTAATTCTAACCAGTGTTTCTGAGAAGGAGTTAAAGTCAGGTTTTAGTATTTGACACCCAAATCGATGGCTGTGTTTACACCATTTTCTTTAGTGAATCAAGACTTTTCCTTATTTCTAAACAATTATTCTTAAACAGTTTAAAGAGAAAATCATTTGCATTATATGAGGTTTTTACCGAAAATGTCGTCTGATGGCAGGCAGGTTTGATGAAGCTTTCCACTGTAGAACTCAAGGCCAATGATTGCAAACATGAGGATGGCGAAGAACAAGAGAAGGCCGATCTGTAGCAGTGGGATCATGGCCTTCATGATGGACTTCAGCACAATCTGTAGGCCTGTAGAAGTGATTAACAAGTGAGAAAATATTTTACAAGCAACAGAACCACAAAAGGCCCAAACATTTTTAATAGTGTGATGCTGCAAAGGTTTCACTAAATCATATCCTCAGTTTTTTTTTATCACACCTATCTGCTTTTATTTTTATCAATTAAGTTAAAGGGAAAAGTTTACCTTCTTCTTAAACCTTATCTTACATGAAGAAGCTCAAATTCCAATGCCTCATTGAAAATATCAGGTAGAGTACAGAAGCAAAGCTGCTTATAAGCAAACACTGGTGCTTTCAGATTTTTCAGGGGTTACCTTTTGCAAAAGGTAACCCCTTTTATGTGTATTTCCTCAGAACTGGAACTAGAAGCTATTTTTTAGAACTCGTAATTATACCTCTGTAGCTTTGCAAGATAGACTGAATATGAAAACAAATATGAATTTCTTAGATAGCGGTTATATTTAGTGAACTCTACAGAGCTTACATAAGGTTTGGTATGAAACATTTTTCTTATTACGATTTACCTTTATGTTTTGTGTTAAAGATCTAAGACGGTGTTGGAATTATATCTCTAAGATCTGAGGTTCATGCACAGTTATGATGCAAAACTTTCATACTGCCACATCCAAAAATTGCCCTTACAGATTTAGATATGCTAACTATTCCAAAGCATCAGAGGGTGAGTGCATTGTGGTCATAGATGCATTGAGATTGTTAGCAATAATAATTATTGAGTTATTTAAACCATTTAGAAGATGCTTTAGAACCAAAGTTATGCATAGGAGGTTTCCCCTGCCCCTCTACTCTTAAAACCCTGAGCCGTTCTTACAAGTGTGATGAATCCATCCTTTGAAGGTGTTTGGGCAAACCTTTACTGTGGTATCTGAATGATGCAACTGAAGATTCATCAGACCAGGCCACGTTTTTGTGAAAATTTTGACCTCAGTAAGTCTTAGTTGATATTCTGTATACATTTTTTTGAAATAAGCAGTTATTAGAATTAATATTGCCTATCTACCATTCTGCACCAGAGTGTTTTTCATTCTGGTTATTAATTAATTAATTAATTTTAGAAGATTAATCACAATTAGATGAGGAATCTTTATTGTCATTGTATTGATATACAATTAAAAGTGTTATTTGGCAGCAACAACAACAGGCAATTTGCTATTAAATGCAATGTATGGTAAATAGTAGGTAAAAAAGTAGGTCTCAGACACATTTAAGTTGGGTTCAAAATGAAAGAAGGAGTAACAAAATACAACAAATATAAAATTAAGGGGGACTTTTCCTTTCTTAAAGTAAAATGTGACAATGCCCTTTATAAGGAGTTAAGAGCCATCATAGAATATGTTTACATGTGTTAATTAATGAGATACAAATCGCAATAACTGCACAGACTACATGAGATATGACCATCTTAATTAATAGAAGGTTGAATTTTTTTCTTTTTGCTTGAAAACACTACCTTGGTCTGATGAAAAAGAGTTTTATCAAACCATGTCAACCCTAAAGATTATTGCTTAAAAAAGGTGCTTGAATAGCTTTCATTGTACTCACATCTCTTTAAGTAATTATCAGTTTGTGAGGTTCTTTTTTTTTGCATCACAATGAGTCTCCTGCTTTAAGAAGATCTTTTGTCGTCATTATGTCTAATTGTCATGGCTTTGGTTATGTTGTGCTTTACTTTGCTCCTTGTTTTCTTGTTTTAATTCCTATTTTGTTGTAATTTCTAGATTTATGTTGATTCTTATTTTTTTCCTGTTGTCCTCTGTTGCCCTCTTGTGTGTGTGTGTTCCTTTCCCCTTGGCTCCCTCGTCTTTGTCTCTGTCAGCTATATATGCTCTCCCTCTGCTCTCACTCTTTGTTGGTTCCTTGTTGTTGCTGGTCCTGTCTTTGCTGTTGTCCTCTCACCTCGTCTCTCCCTGGCTCCTTGTGCGCGTTTTCCCTTGATGTCTCCGTGGTTCTGGTCTGAGTTACATTTTAGTTGGATTTTGCCTCTGTTATTAGTGTTTTTCATTAATACTACAAGAATTCACCTCAGCCTCTCTGCCTCTGCATTTTGGGTCATCTTTACTACAACCAAGACGTGACACCAACACCTTATTCAAACAGGCCACATCCATGTCCGATTGGTCATCTTTCACAAATCCCCGCTGAATGCATGTAGCATACATTGCTGTATCTTGGAGCTATCTCTGTGCTTGGGGTTTTAACCTGCTTTACCAGTTCTGGGTTTAATCTGCCATGCCACAAACACAGTCCTGGATTCCTTTCAAGTTTATGGTAATCCACTGCAGAGCTTTGGATTACTTCCAGCTTGCCTGCTCTCAATCTCTCTGTCCTGTAAGCCTTAAGGTTGTTTTATACTTCGAAACAAGGTCGTCTGCGTAGATGTCGCGGTAAATGCAGAGACGTCCCCGCCCCCTCCGCAGACACTCCGCTGCACCTCTCCCAAATTGTAGGTGAGCGCAGACAGTGTCACAGACCGGAGGCATCTGATTTGGTCAAATCTACATCCGCTCTAAACTATACTTGTTTTGTTTGTATGACCGCCATTGCGGAAAATGACTTGTAATGTTCTCTTAATATAATTAAACTAACTAATTAAATAGTTGACAAAAAGGAATGTTTCTACTGTATATCTAAGGCCCTGTTTCTAACAAACTAACAACAGTTTTATTCAATCAATACTAAGATACTACACTTCAGATCTGGTTTCGCTGCTGAAAATAAAAAATAAACAAATAGATAAACTTTTGCAAAGTTTGCTATGCTGCTTTAGAACTTCTTGGAAGTCTGATAGTTATTTATCTGAAATGGCTCATGATCATCAAAACAAATTAAGTTAAAAAGATTCTAACATTTGTTCTTTGTTCATATTAAAATTAATAACAACACTTTGATGTTATTCTATTTCAGTTCAAGAATTCATCAAATAATTTACGTTTCTTCTGGTTGACTGTGCAGAAATGCCTGTTTTCTTTTTCTTAACACTTTGAAATTCCTTTCGTTCACATGGATACTATTTCTGCATTTCTCAGGGAAACATTCAGGTGCAATATCTGAAGTTTAAAGGCTAGTAAGTTACTTACTGGGGATCCCAGAGACGAGTTTGAGTGGTCTTAAGACTCGCACAGCCCTCAGGGTCCGGAGATCGACTGGGATGTTCATGTGGGCACCAGCAGTGGCCAAGATCCTAGAGGATTTAAAATATTGTTATGTTGGGAATGCTACAGGGCAGAGTCCACAACATTTTTTCAAGAATATCTGTCTGAGTTGGCTGGAAAAAAAAGCTTAAAATTTAAATTTTGTTTAAAAGTAAAAAACTGATTAAATTAAAATATTGTCATTATAAAACAATGCTTAGAAACAAGCCTTTTGTTTAAAAGGGGGAAAAATGCAATTGTCTCATTATTTTATTAACCAGAAACAACTGCGCAGCCGGTGAGTGGTACAGTGTTTTCATTAAATGCACCAGACTTGTATGGCGAGAGACAAAGAATGCACAAGCACATACACCTGGCAGGCAGCTCTACTCACATCTACCCACGCACACATCGATGTGCCTCCACCTACATATAAACACCGAGAAACAGCATCAGGAGCAACCAGCTCACAGTAGCTTACAAAAGAAACCACATGAGGTTTTCCATAGGATGGCAAAACCAAAATATCTCAAATGTATAAATTCAACTAGAAGTAGGAGGGGGAAAAAGATTCAGACATTAATCCTCATTAGTAGGTCAGATACTACTATATTAGCTTTACAAAAAAAATGAAATTTACAGAAGAAATGGGAATCTTCTGTCAAATTTGACCACTTTGCTCTTTTAAACACCCACTTTTATATAAACAAGCAAATATACAACTTATAAAATCTTTGCATGGTGCCGGTAAATGTGGGGAAGGGCATATATATATATATATGTGTGTGTGTGTGAAAAGGGAGTAGAAAGCACATGGCAAAAACTCAAGTGTAAACCCACGCAGAATCTCTCCTGAAAGCAGTGGGAGGGAGAGAGGCCAAGCGAGCGAGTGAATGAGTGAGGCTTGCTTGCACTAATGCGGATAAATCTGAAAATGCTCTCACCATGATCAGAACCATTTCTAAAAGTTCACTGCAGGTGCAGAACGTTGCGCGGGCTGACTGCCCCTGGTATAATCAATCTTCAAAGATTTCTGAGAGTCACAACGACTAAAGCTTAGGAAGCTTCTTAAAAGAAAACCTTTTTTTACATGGAGTCAAAAGGCTTGTTAAAGTTTTTTAGTTTTTTAAATGTTTTTTAACAAAAAATTAAAAAACAAACTTTTTGCAAAAAACAAAAACATTTTACACATAAATCTTTTTTTTCACGAAATGAGACATCTCAAAAAGTGACAATTTTTCCTTGGCTGTATGAGAGCTAGTGTAACAAGAGTTTGCCCCTCCCCCACCTATTACTGTTACCAAAAAAAAAAAAAAAGGCTACAAAAATCCTTTGTTTAATAAAAAGATACATTCTTCTGGTTGGGTATATTTCCAATCCCACAAACACTAGTCACCTGTCACTGTGTTAGAGTTATTGTTTGTGTTGTTCAATAAAGGGCAGAAACAAAATTATATTATTTTGCATATCAAGCAGATTTACCTGAAAAATATTACTATATTCATTCATTAAAAATAGAAAAGAAAATGACAATTTTTGTAGAAAATATGACATCTAGGGATTCCCCTGATTTGATCCAAAGGTTTCCCAATTAAGGCAATAGCTATGTTTACATGCACAAAGTTTCACCATCTTACTGAAACCCCAAATTGATAATACTGTATTGCTTATATGAACATAGGTAAAAGGAAAAACATGGTTGCTAAGACTAAAAAGTGAACATGCTGATCGAAATATTCTGATAACAGCTAGCAAGAGCAATTTGCCATTCAACACTTAGTTCTCAGGCCGACATTCAGAATAACTTGTTCCTGACAAGTGATTACGTGCATTCTAATCAGACAGACATGGACAGTTACTTATGTCCATGTGAATGTAGCTAGTGTTGCTATAAATGATGGTGTCGCTGACCAAACTAAGTTGCCATCCCATTTATTGATATATGTTGTATGTTTTAATGTGCTTTACACAAAATCACTGGTATGAGAATCAAGCAGGGTGCTCCCCAGCCTTTACAAGCCAGTTTTTCTCTGCTATGCTGATATTAAGGCTGCAACTCTCCTTTTAATGATCATATCAGCCCTGAGACTGACATCAGGACTTTCTCCTTGGCTCTGTCCAGCCTATTTCAAACGCTGGTTAGGCTGAAAGTTATTAAAATGACTAAATTACTAAAATAAGGCTGTTTCTCTGACTTCTATAGCGTAGGAAAACGAACCAGAGAGAGAGAGATTCAAGGTGCAGACAAAGAGCTTTCCTTTAACATGCTAAAATCCAGAGGAAACTTTAATTTCAAATAAATGTACCCCTTTATCTGCACACAAAGTGCAGTGAAAATAAGAACCCTGTACACTTAAGACTCTGTCAACAACTTTCCCTGAATATTTGCAGGCCATTGAATACATGTTCTACCGCCCCACCAGCAGGAAGAGTTCCTGAAGCCAAACCAACCAATGGTTATTGAGGTTTATTTAAAGCTATGCTCATAGAACATCTTGGTGAGAACCCTGTCAAGTACCTGCTTTGAGTCTCTGAGTTTGTCGCAATCCCTTGTGGAATCAAACTGAATATAATTGATAGCATTCATTCAGATGCGGCTAAGACAGACTTAGGGTATCCTAGAAAGCCCATATGCACAAATGCAGGAGATTCATGCTTCTGACTCTCTGCTTCCTCCTGCAACATTTGAAAATGATGCACAAACAGCAACATGTTGCTGATATGTACCGGTAGTTGCTAATACACTTGGTGACACTTCAAAAATGGTTGACATTACAGACTTCTAAAGGTACGGAAAAACAATGGCTTAAGGATTCTCATTTTGTCTTCCATAACAATATCTTTAAGATTTTTCATATTGTTTTGTGTTGTATCAAAGAAGAATAAGTCATATAAAATGTATTAAAATAGCATTTATAGGGCCGAAGTTCTGGTATCATCCAACACATTTAATTATACATCAGTCAGACTGCTCTGATGCATGCAGTATTACATGGTTTCTATAGTTTCCATTTCTGCATGCGTCAGAAGTATTGCTTTAAACGCCAGCAAGTCATAGCTTTGCTCCTGTTATTACAAAGCAAAGAGATCAGAAATTTGTCTCAATTTCTGAATAACTGAAAGAAGAATCGCTTTGCAATTTAACAGCCTTTCTCTTATTTTGTGGCATAACTGCATGTGCAAGTACTTGCTATTTCTGTGTGCAGATTATTAGGTTTTAGTGAGCTGAAATGTAACAAGTGAGAGTGTGTCAGACATAGAGATGACACAGTGAGAGACACTGTGACTGAGAGGGACCAAGGCAGTGGGAGTCTGTGGAAACGGCCTTTAAAACTCACACACAAAACAAAGGCAGGCAGCTGCAGCAGCACCTTCTTCAAGGCCGCATTTCGAGCGCAAACAATTCTGGGGAGGCTTGCTCCAAATCAAAACAAATATGCTTCTTGTGGAAGCTGATGATTCATCCTTACACAGAGAGGTCATTTTATTCCATTTAGGTACAGATTTCCTGAAGAAAAATATTTTCCTAAAACAATATGCAACAGCAAACAAATTGTTTTAAGCGCATTATACTAAGACTGCTATAAAAAGGCTGCATGAAGACTCTTTTGTATTACAAGCTGAATCCACAAACATTGAAATATGGGATGAAGCCCTACAGCCCTAAAGTCATTTACTAACCCCACAAATATAAAATAGATGCAAAAGCAGCGTTTTAGAGCTTAATTTCTCATTAATGCTAAGAGTAATATTTATTCTGGCTGATGTCTGTAGCGTTTTACAATATTTTTATGTGAAAGGGATTTTAATGAATTTTATTATTATAATTGTTGTCACTTTTTTATTATTATCATCATTATAATAAGGGCTGAAAGATTTTGACAGAAACCAAAATTGTGATTTTATTTCCATTTGCCTTTGCACCCCAGGCTTGTAGATGTTGCACCCCAGGCTTTCGGTTTTTGAAAGCTTGCTTGCCCAGAGTCTATTGTTACAGGACTTTACTGTAACTATTGTTTAAAAAAAGTGTTTACTTCTTCTTCCATGCAAGAATCTAGCTGCAAATCTCTACCTTTATAAATATAAGTGTGATTATAAATCAGTGCCTCTTCAATTTTAAAATTGTGTTTTGTTTAATTGTGATTATATTGCAAATGCAATTAATTGGATTTGATCTGGCTTTCAGTGTTGTTGTGCCCTTGGGAAAGACACCCTACCTGCATTGCCTACTGCTGGTGGTCAGAGGGCCCGGTAGCGCCAGTGTACCACAGCCTTGCTTCTGTCAGTGAGCCCGAGGGGAGCTGTGGCTACAATGTAGCTCGCAACCATCAGTGTGCATGTGAATGGAAGAATGACTGAAAGTATTGTAAAGTGCTTTGCACAGGCCATTTACCATTCACAATAAATAAATTCCCCTTTATAATTTTTTTCAACTTTGTATAAAGGATGGGCCACTGGGATATACAGATTTAAAATCATTGTGGAAAAAGAAATAAGGTCCCTGTTTTAAAAGAATGATGAGTAGGTGAAAGATAAGTATTTTCATTGTGATTGTGTAGGTCTACCCAAGTGTACAAGTTCACTGCTGTGCACTTTAAGATCTTTAACAAAGTCAAACTGTTTTATTTTGAAAGACAGAATCAGCAAATACATTTGCAAATGAAGTGCTTTGCCAGTATTTTATGTTTCATCTAAAAAATTTAACAAGGTCTAGTGTGACAGATCAACACAGAGTAGTGCCAAATAGTGATGTGTTAGGATTTCTTTAAAATAAATATCTGGAATCAGCAGCATGCATTCGTATTTAGTCTCATTGAGGCTACAGTTTTTATAAAAATCAACCATTCACTGTAAGTCCAAGTCTTTCTTTCCAAGGCATTTTTCACTGATCTATGCACATGTATAAATTGCTGTTCTTTGCAAAACATGTCAGCCCTGGTCTGATTGCAGTGCTTTATTTGAAAAAATAAATAAATGAATACAGGCACTCCCATAAATGCTAGACAAATATCTGGTGGAAACATGGATATTATGAATGGATATATTTTTA